CCTATTCCTGTTCACCCACTTTTTTATAAGCAAGAGATTGAAATGTTAGGATTCTGCCACTCCAGCTAGATGACCGCACATGTGCAGTTCAGTAGCTAAGCAAGGAGTCTTATGTCTTACGTCATCAGTGTGCTGTGTGATCATGCAAATGCACGCACCATGGTCATGCAATCAGTGCATGATGGTGTAGCTCCATAAGCCCACATGTACATGTGAACAGGAATCCTTAAAAAGCCAGACACAGACTCCTCCTCTCTTCTCTTTGTTCTCTCCTCCCCCACTATCTATCTATCTTTCTCTTCCTGCACATGTGTCTCCCCCAGGCCTGGTTACTCTATTCTATCCCCACCTCCTCCTAATAAAGCTCTGATACTGAGTTTTGTCATGTCTCATGACCTTTTCATGGAGTAACAGTGCCACATATTTTAAAACAACATTGTTTCACTGGAGACCCCAAGATGTTGAAGATGTTGGAGCTGTGAAACATCTGGCAGTGAAACAATGGGACCATCCCAAGAAAGAGATGTGTGTTTGAAGTAGTAAGGCTGGAGGGTTGGAACCAGCTAAGCCCTTTAAAACTGAAACATCAAGTACCAGGTATGGAGCTACAGGATTTAGTGTTTTACTCCCTCCATTTTGTTCTTGCTTTGTCCTAATATTTCTTCACTAAGCTCCCATACCTTCATTTTGGAATTGGAATGCATATACTATGCCATTATATACTGAAAGTGTTAGATCTCAAACCTAGGACAAAGGGCTAACTGAGGTGCCTGTTAATATATCAAAGATGACACTGACCACCAGGTTTTCTCAACATCCCCCAGTTTATACCTGTTACAGGGTCCTACTGGTTGGAATACCCCACCCCATTCCCTAAACTTCTCCATCCAAGAGGCTGGACTTTCCTTTCATCCAGCTTCTCTGACTCCTACATAACCCAGTCATTTTGGTTACACAGCTCTTTTGGCCCTTTTGTCATTTTGGTCTCTTGGCCTACTGGCCTCTTAGATCCTGGCCATCCCTTTTGCCCTCCCACCTCTCCTCACATGGCTTGGCTTAGTTGGCCTATTATGTCCACTTTGTACTCTTCTAGATGTTTCTGCCTCTGCCTGTTTTCTTCCTTATTAACTATAATAAAAATATCCACCTCTTAGAAGCAATCATGTCCTCCTTTTATTTCTTTTTGTATTCAGGAAGTGTGTGTGTGTGTGTGTGTGTGTGTGTGTGTGTGTGTGTGTGTGTGTTTATTTTTTCCATAGAGTCACAATTAAGACATCACTTTCAGTCTTAGAATTTACGTTGGGTTTTAGAACAATATATAAACTATTGAATACTACGGGGGTCTTTTAAATTTGGACCAAAGCCATTTTAGATCATGAAAGGGCCATGAGCATATGAGGGCCAGGACACTAATTGTACTGGTTTAAAAGAGAATTGTTCCCCTTAGGCACATGTATTTGTGTTGCAGGCTATTTGGTATCTGTGTGAAGATGTGTTTCTGTTTTACTATGATTGGTTTAATAAAGAGCTGAACAGCCAATAGCTAGACAGGAGAGAACAGGGAGGACTTCCAGGAAGAGACAGGAACTCTGGGAAAAAGAGAGCTGGGATTTGCCAGGCAGTCACAAGAGGTGGGAGAGTGAGATGTACAGTATGGAGGAATGGTAATGGGAAATGTGGCAGAGTGTACATTAATATAAATAAGTTAATTTCAGCTTTAAGAGCTAGTTGGGAAAAAAGCTTAAGCTAAGGCCAAGCTTTCATAATTAATAAGAAGTCTCTGTTATTATTTGAGAGCTGGCAGTCCAAAGAGAGTTGACCCTAAGGTAACAGGCATGGGAGTGCTGCCCTTGTTTCCCACAACCTGAAACACTCAGAAAAGCAGGCCCTGCACTTAGTAAAGGTAACACAATAGAGTCAACCCTGTTAGAATAGGAGTGGGCTAGCCAGCCCCAAAACTGTGAGCATGGAAGATCTATCCCCATTGCCCATCTCTTTGGTGGTGGCATGGGTAGGGAAGAGCTGCCCTCCTCCCCCCACCCACCCATCAACCTCTGGGGCAGGTGGTAGAGCTGACCCTGTAGTCATAAGAACAGGAGAGCTACCCCTGATTCACACCAGCAGCAACACTCAGGAGAGCAGACCCTACACCCCACCACGGCAGCAAAATAGAGCCATCCCCTTCAGCTCAGGTGTGGGTGAGCTAGCCCAAAAGTTGTGAGCATGGGACAGTTCTTCCAAATTCTCATCTGTATTGCGGAAGCACGGCCTGTGGTAAGTGGGAGAGCAAGCCCTGTGGTCATAAGAGTGGGGGAGTTATCCATGACACCCACCAGCTACAACACCCAGGAGAACTGGTCCTGCACCATGCCAGGGCAGCACAATAGAGCCAACCCTGTGAGCACACATGTGGGAAATCCAGGCCTGAAATTGTGACCATGGGAAAGCTGTCCCCATTACCCATCTGTCTGATGGCAGCATTGGTGGGGACAGCTGCCCTCTCCCCCTCACCCAGCAACACCTGGGCCAGGTGGAAGTGCTGGCCCTGTCATCATAAGTGTAGGAGAGCTCTCCCTGATCCCCACCAGCTTTACCACTTAGGAGAGCAGGCCCTTCACCCCTCCAGGAGAGCACAGGTGTGGGTAAGCCATCCCCAAAATTATGAGCATGGGAGAGCTCTCCCCACTTCTCATCTGTCTTGTGGTGGCATGGGCAGGGAAATGATGCCCTCCTGCCTGCCCACCAATGCCTGAAGCAGGTGGGAAAGTTGGGCTTGTGTTCATAAGAGGACTATCCCTGATCCCCACCAGCTGTAACACTCAGGAGAATAGGCCATATACCTCTCTGGGGAAGCACAATAGAGCCAACCCTGTTAGCACAGGTATGAGTGAGCCAGCCTTGAAACTGTGAGCATGGGAGAGCTGCCCCCATTACCCATCTGCCTTGTGGTGGCATGGGCATAGGAGAGTTGCCCTTCTCCTCCATACCAGTCAATGTCTGGGGCAGGTGGCAGAGCTGGCCCTGTGGTCATATAAGGCTGGAATAACTATCCCTGACCCCCACCAGCTGCAACACTCAGGAGAGAAGGTCCTGCACCTTGCCAGGGCAGCACAATAGAGCCAAGCCTATTAGTACAGGGATGGGTGAGCCAGACTCAAAGTTGTAAGCATGGGAGAGCTGTCTCCATGTCACATCTGGTGGACCAACCCTACAGCTGCCCAGGCCCAAACCCAAGCATATAACTTGGCCTGCCCCACTATCCACCCCATCTATGATCTGCTGGAACACATGATGAAGGGACCTGACCTGCAGACCCAAAGCTGCAGAATCTCCACAACACAGGGCAACAACAGGATATCCAGGAAGAACCCTAGCAAGATCCCACCACCAGCAGGGTAGTAGAAACCAGAGGCCTTGAACCAGACCAATGACTCTTTGCAATGAACACTTATAGTAAAGTTATATGGACAAAGGGGTTCACAGAGTGACTTCCTGTGTCACACTGCAGCTTCCATGATGATATTTTTAAGTTTCCCCTTTTTTTCTCTTAAATCTTGTTTTATTTGGGTATGCGCAGGAGCAGAGGGCAGATGCAAAATGGTAGGGAAATGAATGGGATCAAGATACATGATGTAAAAGACATATAGAATAAATAAATTTTTAAAACACATTTCTACGGTGTGTGTGTGTATGTGTGTATGTATGTGTGTGTACACATGCATGCATGTACACATGAGTACACACATTCCAAAACATATAGCCATCAGAGCACAACATATCAGAGTGTGTTCTCTCCTTCTATCTTGTAGGTACTGAGGTTTGAACTCAAGTCCTAAGGCTTGGCCACAAGTATGTTACCTATTGTAGCATCTCACCTGAGGATATCATTTTCGGAGCATATTTGTGCATAATTATAAGGAACTACAAGATGAGCTCTGCTAAACAAGTTTCATTTCTGAAACATTTAAGACTAGGCTTTGATTGATAATAACTTTACCAGTTAAATGTGATCTTTTGAATCATCTCAGGTTTTTCAGAAAGTAACCTATCACCAACACCACTTCCTGTTTGAGAAATAATGTAATATTTCAAAAAACAATTAATTATACATTTCTATTATTCTTCAGTTTCTCCCCAAGTATCAATTTCAGCTACATTTAAGAACACACTAATTTTGTTTCTCAAACTTCTAAAATTGTGGTAATGCCTCAGCAAAGAGATAATAGATTAGTTTCACAAATTTGGCGTAATATAAAAGTACCTCATTAGATACTAGAAAAACAGAAGTCAAGAAATCATTATGCTGCTAATTCAGGTGTCCAGAAGATATGGATTTGTAGCTTCAGTGACAAATATTTAAGTTATTTAAGGGTAATATAATAAAAATATAAATGCTACAATTCTGTCTACCAGCTAATGAAGCCAAAAATAAGTAACCATCAAATTGAGGACCTCTTTAAGTGACAAATTCTAATAGAAGCAGTGAAGATTTATGCATCCTGATTTAAATAATAAATAAACCATCTTGCCTTTTAGGAAGCATATGAACAAAAATTACAAGAGTAATTAATTAGTTACACCTGAGTTATCTACCTAATCTCTTTGTAGAATAATTACATATCTATTTGCAGTTATTTGTAATCAATGCTGTTCAATATAGTATACGCCAACCATGAGTTACATATAGTGAAAAGTTTTTGTTTGATTTTGTTGTCCTCTTAGCCCCCACAAAGTTTTAAACTTCAGTCTTAAATATTTTTATATTGAGAAATATATTTATATGTGAATTTGTAATATTAGATAGACACTATCACTTTTTATATTCTCAGAACACAGGAAAGCATTAAAGTATATAACTTTCTACATTTTTTTAGACAGGGCCTCATTCTGCATAATTTTTTATTTTGTGTTTACTATATGTAACTGTCAAGTCTGAGTGAGACAGAAAATAATAAAGGTAAACTATACTAAAAATTAAGGTAGTCCAGAAATGCACCAACCTTCAGGATCAAGAAGCTTTTCTATGCCTAACTGACATTTGGCGATGTTGAAGGCATGTTCCAGTCTTAGTGTGGCTGACTGCTGGGAAACCACACTATTCCAATCAAATAGTTCTGGCCTGAAACACACACATACATAAACAAATACAAATATAAATTAATACACAATGAACTATGAAACTCATTTCAATTGTGAATTGAGAATTTTTCTTATTTTTTAATGCCCCAAATCCATAAGAATTAGTTGATTTTTATTACCTGTTGTGGTTTGAACGAGAATGGCCTTGTAGGCCCATATGTTTGTACGCTTGGTTCCCAGGTAGTAAAACTTTCTGGTAAGGATTAGGATGTATGGCCTTGTTGGAGTGCCTGTGGCTTTGTAGGGCTGGGTATGGAGGCTTCAAAAGCAGATTCCAGACTCAGTCTCTTTCTCTCTCTTCCCTACAACTTGTAGATTAGATGTGGGCTCTCAGCTACTGTTCTAGTATTATGTCTGTCTGGTTTCTATAATTCCACACTATAATGATCTTGTACTAACCCTTTGAAATTCAGCAAACCCCCAGTTAAGTGATATATAAGTTGTCTTGGTAATTGTGTCTCCTCACAGCAATAATATAGTAACAAAAACATTATCCCTTAATAACATTTTTAATGTAAATAAATCACGATTTTTACTTAGGATGTTGACATTTCACATTTTAAGTATGTAGAAATTTTGTGAATTATGCCACAATAAAATTGGGAAAGATAAAAATCCTTAATAAAATAAGGAGGAAATTATTATACTTTATTAATAAAAATGGTATTCTTAACCAATTGTGAGATTGGGATATAATTTATTCACAAGTAACTCCTAAACTTAAGCTTATATCATATCTCTTCTTTTAACTTCTAATTCATCTCCATCACAAAAGCAATAATTTCATGTTTTCTAGACATAACAGGACCACTGCACTCCTGAACTCATTGTAACAATGGTTGCCTGCAGAAAATAGTCACAGGATGGAGTCTATCAATATTCTAGGATAGACATGGGAGTGGCACAAGAACCCCCACCCTAACTGACGGCTATTGGAAGTTGATGCTATGAAAGGGACAGTATGTTGTTTTCATGTGTTTGTTTGTTTTTAGGTGTATGGATCATGGTAGATTGACCAAGCTCCAGTTGATGAATCCACACCCTTGTGATTTGTACAGCATTAATTACACTTACTGGGTTATAAAAAGGGGGAACATTAACTTCCTAGCTCTTGTGCTAGGGGTAAGACTTCTTGCCAATGCCATCATCCCCATGTGGAGATTTGGTTGGCTTGAGCTTTCATAGTTTTGTTTCTGCATTCTGTTACAAATTTCCTGTTGTGTATTGAAAATACACCATCCTTGAAGTCATCCACCAGCTCTAAATCTTATAATCTTTCCACTCCATATTCCACAACGATCCCTGAGCCTTAAGGAGATGGATGTGATATTGATGGCCCATTTAAGGCTGAGCACCCCACAGTCTCTTATTCTTTGCACATTGACTATATGGATAAAAATAATGATTAATTTATCCTCTGGTAGTATGAAAAATTCCTTCCAGTACTATCTTCCTGGTTGGAACTAGCTTGATTTATCCATATTCTGTTACTCAAATATGTGGTGTCTTCAGCAGCAGGATCTTACCATCAAATTGTTGACAACAGCCACGAGCAATAGTAGTAACCTACAATGTTTGGGGATCTATGGATCCCCATTGACCAACAACTCCAAAGGAGGCAACCCATTTCTGACACTGGGCTTTGTATTTGATAGTTGCTGGGATAGAAGAGTCATGACTCTTTTAAGATTGTAACCCCTGATAGGTAGACAATGCTCCAGAATAGGCCTTATACTAACAGCAGTTGGCAGTACCATTTGGACTTGATGTGATGATGATAATAATAATTATTATTATAATAATAAGTGATAATAATAACAATAGTAATTAAAAAATTATAAAATGTTTGGTGGCTAGGGACATTGGGGTCCACCCAGGATTAGATGGAGAAATGAATATGATCAAATTACATTGTATTAAATTACAAAAGGATTAATATATTATTTTTTAAGAGACAGACATTTTCATAGCTTTGAACATGGTAACTAAACAAATGCACTATGCTATCCTGGACGAGATACCAGATTAGTAGGTCAGCAATAACAGAAAAATCCACAAAGTTTCACTAAAGTGTATCAATAGTCTAAAAGATTGGGTGCTTGTTTGGGTGCTGCAAAGAGGCTAGGCACTAGAGGAATACTTGGTGAATCAGCCCATGAAGTGATGTGGTATAGGCAGCACAGGAGGTCCTTGGAGTAGATGAGGATAGGGCAAGTCTAGGCTAGAGCCAGGATGTTGGCTCTAGGGTAAAATATTTGGGTACAACAAAGAGTATAGAGTAAGCTACAACAAGGCAAAGGTGGACAGAAATTGTACCCAGACTAGATCACATAGAATACAGAAAACAAGTTATCTTGTATATGAGAGTGGTGGGGGTAATCTCTACAGGTTTGACCCTGGGGGGGGCAGGGCAGGGCATGGAAAGTTTAGGTATAGAATGATATGGTATCAGCAGCATAAAATATTATGTAGGTGAGTATGAGTAGGCCAGATAAAGTTGACAACCTAGATATGGGCTATATTACAGATGGAAGATTGGACAACTATTGGGGGGCTTGAATTTGGGACCATGGAGAAGATGATAGATCTCTACAGAAAATTGCCGTTAGTCATTCTAGGAATGAGTGGTGATTCAATCTAGGATAGATTTCATAGTATGTGAAAAATAAGTATCCAGTGGTGGGAGGAGGGGATGACTCACTAGTATAGAGCAAAAGTAACAACTCAGTGTACTCACTAATCTAGACCCTGGTGGAAGTCTGGAATTAGAGTATGACAATGTAGGCAGATAAAAGGGTACTGTGGGTAGATGTGAGTAGGCTAAGTACTGGGGCAACCATAGATGTTGGTTGCAGCACAAGAGAATGTGGTCAAAGTAGTATGGAACATAGTATTTGAGAATGTGTAGAAAGCTAGAAATGTCAAGCCAAGCTGAGGTCAAAGGTTGTGGTAATATAAACAGCCTTGACCAAGGCAACAGACATTTAAACACTGATTATGGAGTGGGATGGCACAGCGTGCACAGCCTGCACAAAAGATCTTGTAGGTGGAGGTGGTTATTACAAGTCCTAGCTGGACTCTAGATGTGGCAGCAGCACCAATGGAGGTGTTAAGAACTAGGCCTAGGCTTGAGATTTTAACCCTACAGTAGGTAGAGTTCTCTAAAGTAGGGTTTAGGTGCCATTCTACAGGAGGCAAGAGGCTATTCCATCCAGGCTAGATACCACTGGCTGTGGAATACAAGTACCCAGTGTTTAAGTGTAGGAGTGGGTGGGTACTCTACAGGTTAGACCCTGGGGGAGAACTAGGAATTTGGGGTATGGAGTGGGCTACTTTAGGTAGCACAAACAGTCTTGTGGGTGGATAGTGAGGGATCTGGTGGAAGAGTAGATGCTGAAGAACACAGGATGAGGTAGTGGGACTAGAGTGGGGTGTAATAATTGAAACTGTATGGAAGCCAAGGGGATCACTATTGCAAGTCCTGGCAGCCAGACTAGATCTTGTCACAGGCTATGGGAAACAGAAGAGATCCACTAGCATGTGGAAAAACAAGGATCTAGTGAAGAAGATACAAGCAAGACCTTGGGACATATAGGTTTGGAGTGATGTATAAACTTGAAAGAGATTCCTGTTGGTGGATATAAGTAGACTGATCATGGTGTGAGCCAAGGTATTGGCTACAGGACAGGAGGAGGATATGGGACACCATAAGGCATGAAAATTGAGAACCTGGGAAAAGCAAGATGTCAATACTGCAATGTACTGGAGGTCATATCATGACAGGGTAGCAACTAGATCCCATGGGACATGGAAAATAAGCATGCAGTTGGTGTGTGGGGGTACACAACAGGCTTGACTCACAAAGTGAACATGAGAAGACTGGGTAGGAAGTGGGATGCTGTAAGCAAGACAAAGGGCTCTGTTGATAAAGGTATATAGGGTGGCTCTTGTCAGGAGACTAGAAGTTAGCTACAACACACAAGGAAATGGTAAAACTAGCAATGGACTTAAGATTTTGGACTCTGTGGAAGGAAAGAGATCTCTACTACACTGATCAGATGCCAATACAAAATGGCACAGTGGCTGTTCAGTCTATGCTAGATCCTACTATATGTAACAAGTGTCCATAGAGGGAGGGAGGGGCTCTGGGTTTGGTGAGAGAAGTTATAGGAAGCTCAAAGGGTCCTATTGGTGAATATGTGTAGGCCAGGGCCTAGTGGAAGCCTGGATGTTGACTATAGCCCCAAAGGAGGTAGTGGAACTAGTCTGGGGTGTAGGATTTCTAACACTACTGAGGAACAGAGTTGGCTGTCAGAAGGCAAAGTGGGCCAGACTAGGTCCAGTCTTTGCTGTTTGAACCACAGTTTACCCAGATGATATAGAAAAACAATGTCTGGTTGTTTGGAGGGTTATTCAACAGTCTAGACCCTGGAGGAGGACATGGAAAATCTGGGATTTACTAAGGTGATGTAGCATCTCAAAGTATCCTCTGTGAAGATGTGGGTGGAGAGTACAGTGGCAGGGGCCTTTATGTTGTCTTCAGCACTGCAGAAATTCCTGGGACTAGGCTATGCTTCAGGAATTAAAACTCTAGGTACAGATTTCAGAGTAGGCAGGTACACTGACTCTGCAGCCAGTACTAGATCCAGTAGGATGTGGAAAAACAAGCATCTACAAGTTTGTAGGCTAGGCTTTAGAAGAGGACATAGTGAGTCTGGGTATGCAATGTGGTGCTAAGGACAGCATCAAAGGTCCTATGGGCGGTTATCTGACTGATAGGTCAGGTCCAGGCTAGAACACTAATGTTATAGCCAACTGTAACATAAAAGGAGGTGGCAGAACTAGGCCAACATAAGGGACTTGGAGCCCTGCAGAAGCTTATAGGCTGCTACTGCAAGGAATAGCTGGCCAGACTAGGTATGTGCACTGGACCTGGACCTGGGCTAGATCCTGCAGGAAGTGGAAAAATCAATATGTTGTGTGGGGATGGTGTACTCAAAGGGTTGAATAAAGGGAAGAACATGGGTAAGGAGTGGAGTGATGTGGGTGGCACAAAGGGCCCTGTTGGTAGAGGTCCTTTGAGCATTGTTGACAGAAGCTTAGATACTAGCAGAGAAGTCAGTGGTGAAAGTAGTCTTAGGCCTGAGTTTAGAGACCATAGACAATAATAGATGTCTCTACTGAGTTGCTTAGGGATCATTCTAGAATAGGGAAATGACTATTCAATCTGAGCTAGATCTGATAGGATGCAGTAACGTACTGAGTGGGGGGATACTCACTAGGCTACATCTTGAGGGAGAATTTGGAAAATCTGTGTTCAGAGTATGGTGGTGTAGGCAACTCAAAAAGCCATGTACATGGATGTTATTGGGGCGGGTCTTGGTGAAAGCCTCAATTTTGGATATACCACAGAACAAGATGGCAGTACTAGCTTGGGGCATAGGATTTGGAACACTGATAAGGCCTAGAGGTGCCTAGCAGATGGCAAGGTGGAACAGACTAGATAACTGCTTTGTCTGTGGGTACCAGAACCACACTTGTGTGGCCAATGTGGAAATACAAGTATCGGGATGTGGGGAGGGGTCTACAACAGTCTAGACCCTAGAGAATGACATGGAAAAGTCTAGGAATATACTGGAGTGCTGTAGGTGTCTCAAAGTGTCCTTGGCATGGATGTGGGTAGATAGGGTACTAGCAGGAGCCTATATGTTGGCCACAGCACAGCAGGAGTTCATGGAACCAGGTTGTGTTTTAGGAACGAAACTCAGTGGAACTCTAGAACTTCCTTCTTCAAGTTGTAGTTTCTAGAATATGCAGGCACACTGGCTGTACACCATCAGGATGCATAAAAAATATGTATCCACTTATTTGGGAGTTATACTATAGGCTGCAGGATTTAGGACCCTATGCCTAGAGTTCCAGACAGCAAGGGACAGGCAGCCAGACTAGCCAGGGTTACTGGCTATTGAACTCAGGCTAAATCCTTATGGATGTGCAAAACAAGTATCAGATTGGGGCTTATATACCAGGCTAGGCCCTGGAGGAGGACATCAGAAGTGTGGGTATGGAGAGCGCTGGTGGAGGTAGCATAAAATGTCCTGTGGGTGGGTATAAGTAGCACCTTGTCTGGAGCCTGTAAGTTGTCTAGGGCACATCTGGATGTGATGAGACTAAGCCAGGGCATGGGATTTGGAAACATGCAGAACCCAAGATGTTGCTACTGTAAGGCTCAGTTGATCAGATTAGGCCATAGGATTGATGTGGGAAACAAGATAGATCCTGACAGATATAGAAAAACAAGTATCCGGTTGTGAAGGAGTACTCATAAGGCTATACCATGAAGGAGGCTCCTTGAGAACTCTGGGTATGCAGTGGGGTGATGTAGGTGGCACAAAGTGTATTGTGTGTAGATGCATGGAGGGCAGGTCCTGGTAGGACCCTGTATGCTTGCTGCAGAATAGCACTAGGTGGTCAGAGCATGCTCCTGGTTTGGGGGTTCTGTTGAAATCTAGTGGTCACTCCTGCAACAGGCAAGAATATAAGTGCCAAGACTAGGCTGGGACACTGGCAGTGGGATATGAGCTATGGTTTGTGGAATGTCAAAAAGCAGTATATAGGAAGGGGAAATATTCACCAGGTTTTAACGTTGGGGAGGAGATGGGAAGGATGGATATATAGTCGGGTTTGGTATACAGAGCAAGTGTTCCATGGTCAGTGCAAGGATGTTAAGTGTCAAGCGATACTAGATTTTGATATAGAAGAGCAATGGGTGGTGGGATCATGCTGTGGTTTGAGATTTTGGACCCTGAAGAAGGCTCTAAATTACTACTGCAAGGTGCAGGAAGCCATTCAACAATGAGACAGGGGCTATTCTATCTAGGATAGATTCCACTGAATATGGAAAAGCAAGCACAAAGTGTAGATGTGCCCACCTGACTAGACCTTGGAAGGGGATGTAGGAAGTCTGGGTATTTTGTGGAGAGGTATGGGTAGCATGAAGGGCCCTGTTGGTTGATGTAGAGGGTAATACCTTGTATTGGTTATAGTACAGGGAGAGTTGTTCTGACTAGCCTTATGTATGTCTGGGGACCATGTTGAAGCCTAGAAGTCACTACTTCAATGCAAAGAGTCCAGACTAGTATTGGACATTGCTTATGGTTTCCAGGTTATATCTGGAAGTATGTGGAAAAACAAGTATTTGATAGTGTGTGGCATTCTCAGTAGACTGGACACTGGATGATGTGAGGAGACTGGTTATAGACTGGGCTGGTGCAGGTGGTGGGAAGGGTCCTGTGGGTGAATGAGGATATTACAGGAACCTATGTGTTGGCCACAGCAAAGGAGGAGGTATTGAGAGTAGGCTGGGGAGCCTGACTTGGGAAAGTGAGGAAGCCTAGAGATCACTACTATAAAGCTACACAGCAAAAGTAGGCCTGGGTCCTAGGTCCTGGGTACACTCACTAGGCCCAGAGAAATAAGGACATACAAATATTCAAGGGTGTGTTTGTGTGTGTGTGTGGTGTTTCTCTGTGTGTGCATGCACACACAGGCCCTCCCACGCTCACAAGCATGCACACTCACACACATGCCCATTCAACAGGCTAGAACCTGAAGCAGGATCTGTGATGTCTATGGATGGAATATGATGGGGTAAATTTTGTAAAGGGTCCTGTGAGTGGATGTGGATGGGGCCAGTCCAGGAGTGAGCCTGGTGTTGGCTATAGGACTTATTGGTGAGACTAGGTAGGGTGACAGATTTGGACCCTGAGGAAGTCTGGAGGCAGCTACTGAAAGATACAGGCTACAAGAGTAGTCTGTGGGACCCAGGTGAGATACTGTGAGATGCAGAAAACAAGTATAGGGTGGTAGGGTACAGTCACCAGGCGTGACCCTGGAGGAGGACATGGGAAATCTGTATATGAAGTAAGTAAGGGTAGGCAGAGTAAAGTGTCCTGTAGATGGCTGTAAGTAGGGGTCTGGGTCCTGGTGGGAACCTAGATATTTGCTATATATGGGTTGATAGGATGCTTGACATATATAATGATATTCAAATACAGAAATGTTACTTGGGAATGATATTTGGGAAGACATTCAAGATATTAGCCCAATAGGAAGAGGCTGGGTGCTGGGGAGGCTCTCAGGAATCCACAAGGTTGACCCCACCTTGGTCTGCTGGCAGTGGTCCAGAGGGTGCCTGGACCAGTCTACTCTAGTGACCAGTCTAGCAAATAACTTATCTGTCATCATAGAGCCTTTGTCCAGTGACTGATGGAGGCAGATACAGAGATCCACCGCCAGGCACCAGGCTGAGCTCCAGGTATCCAGTTGATGAGAGAGAGAAGAGGTACTGCAGGAAAGGGGCGTCGAGATCATGATGGAAGGGCATCCAGAGATGACCGGCCACACTAGTGGAAGCCCATGAACTGTGGACTGGTGGCTGTGGAGCCCCCATGGGACTAGACTAGGCCCTCTGGATCTGGAAGACAGTTGATTGGCTCAAACTGTTTGGGGGGCACACAGGCCGAGGGATCTGGATCTGTCCCTGGTCTATGAGCAGGCTTCTGGAACCCAGTGCCTGATGTGTGACACCTTCCACAGCCTTGCTTCAGTGGGGAGTGTGCTGGGCTCTGCTGACTCCCCATGGGAGACCTTGATTTGGGGGATGTGGGGATGTGGGGTGGCTTGAGAAAGAGGGCCGGGGGAGGAGGGGAATAAAAAATTTCTTAATAAAGAAAAATGAAAGAAAAAAAAGATATTAGCCCAAGATTAAGGAAGACATATTGGAATAAACCATTGAGCAGGGGGAGTCTTGGGGAAGAAGTTGGAGAAGCAAATGCTCTGTCCTGTGTTCTGCCACAACTAAAGTGGATATATGAAGACAGATGGCATGGAAAATTGCCTTAGAGTTGTTAAAGGGAAGTCTCCTTCTAAGACTGGAGTCTTTTTGCCTTCTCAATATCTTCCCCCCCCATCATAAGAAGTGTCCCCAGTGGTACATCCTGCTGTTCTTTCCTTCACCAGGGTCAGAGCCATGCTTTGTGATGTCAGAGCTCGAGCTCCCCCACTATTGGTTGAGACCTTGATGACCAATAAGGTTTGAGGGGTGTGGCCTGCTCTGCTCGGGCAGTTGATGAGACCTCTCGAAGGTAACACAACTAAATCCTGGCAATGGCGAATGTGACCAAGAAATCCGCTTCCGGAGCGGATCTTTCTGCTTTTTCGATGAATACTCAAGCAGTGGCTACGCCTGTCACACCGATAAAGACCAAGGCGGCCTACAAACTTTATCCCCCAGGCCTTCTTAATAAAATGGTAAGATAACCATCCTACCCAAGCACCCTCTTCTGGAGATTTACTCTTGTCTAAAGTACTACCTTTCTCTAGCCTGGCCTAAATCCCCTTACCTATCCTCACCTGTTCTGACAAAGAACCCTTCACAAGCATATCCAGACCCTTGCCCTAAATTAACTCTTGTGTCTTCCCTCTTGTCATTCCAGGCCCTAAAGGCCAACAAACATGGGAAACGTGCCCTGAAAAGGAGTTCCACCAAGAAGGATGTTAAAGAATTAACTCCACCCGTAAAAAAGAAAGGCAAAGATTCACCACCAATGGAGGAGTCACAGCCACTGATGGAGCATCCTGCAAATCCTGCTAATGATAAACCTACTACCTGTGAAGCAAGCACCATGACCGAACCTGAAGAATTAAATCCACCACTGCAAAAGAAAGGCGAAGATTCATCACCAATGGAGGAGACATGGCCTGCAGAGCCTGCTAAGTATCAACCCACTACCTGTGATGCAAGCACCATGACTGATCCTGAAGAACTAACTCCAATGCAAAAGAAAGGCGAAGATTCACAACCGATGGAGGAGACATGGCCTCTGGTGGACCAACTTGCAAAGCCTGCTAAGTATCAACCAACTACATGTGAAGCAAGCACCATGACAGATGCTGACGAAACAGCTCCACCCATGCCAAAGATAGGCAAAGATTCACCAATGGTGCAGGAGCCAGAGCCTCTGGTGGAACAACATGAAAAGCCTGCTGAGCTTCAACCCACAAAACCGGCTGAGGATCAACCTACTACCTGTGAAGCAAGCTACATGGCTGATGATGAAGAAGTAATTCCACCCCCTCCAAAGAAAGGCAGAGATTCACCATTGATGGAGGAGCCACAACCACTGGCAGAGAACAATGCAAAGCCTGCTGCAGATCAAGCAGCACCACCTGCAGAAGATCGACCCACTACTAGAGAAGCAAGCTCCATCACTGGTGCTGAAGAAGTAATTCCACCCATGGCAAAGGAAGGCGAAGATTTACCAATGATGGAAGAGCCACAGCCTATGTTGGAACAAACTGCAAAGCATGTTGAAGATCAACCCAGTACATCTGAAGAAAGCGCCTCAACTGATGCTGAAGAAGTAACTCTACCTTTTCAGAAGAAAGGCAATGATTCACCACTGATAGAGCAGCGACAGCCTCTGGTGGAACAACCTGCAAAGCCAGCTGAACATCAATACTCAAAGCCTGCTGAAGATCAACCCAGCCCCTCTGAGGCAAGCTCCATGAGTCTCAAGGTGGATAGCCAATAGATGGCTATCTTGAAGATGGGAAATTCCCATTCCTATAAACAATAAAATTCAAAATGATATTTTTAAAAATAAATGCATTCCAATTTGAAAATTTATGTGTCTTTGTGAGTCACTAATGGTCGAACTGGTAAAGGGGAAGAGAAATGGTGGATGAGAGCAAGAGAGGAAGTTTGGGTGGGTATATGAAAAAGAAGGGATTTGGGACTCACAAGGTTTGCGGGGGTTGCATGATAAAGGAGGAACTTGGGGATGGATATATGAAAAGAAACAGACCTTGGTATCAATTGGTTGGGGACCACACAAGTGACTTAGGTGGGTGTATGGCACAGAGGGGCCTTTGGGTGGGTATATAGCAAGGCAGGTATTTAGGGTGCTATAGGGATGTAGGCCAGACAAGGAATTTGGTTGGCTATATGACAAAGAAGAGTATTTGCATAAGCATAGGACAACGAAGGGACTTTGTGCCCCCCAAAGTTGAGGGCCAGAGCACAAATGAACTATCAGACCCATGAATATAAAGGAGGGAGCATTAGTCACTAATAGTGGAAGTGGTAAAGAGGAAGAGAAATGGGTATACAGCAAGAGAGCGAGTTTGGGTGGGTATATGACAAGAGGGGATCTGGGTCTCATAAGGTTGGGGGTAGACAAGATACTTGGATTGGCACATGATAAAGGAGGGACTTTGGATGGGTATATGAGAAGAAACAGACTTGGTCTCAAATTGTTGGGGGCCAGAGAAGTAACTTAGGTGATTGTATGATACAGAGGGTACTTAGAGTGGGTATATAGCAAGACAGGTCTTGGGGGTGCTATAGGGATGAAAGCCAGACAAGGAATTTGGCTGGGTATATAACAAGGAAGGGAATTTCGGTAAGCATATGACAAAGAAGGGACTTCAGGCCCCACAGAGTTGAGGGCCAGACCACAAATGCACTGTCAGACAAATTGACATAATGGATGGGGCATTGAAAACAAATTTCCTCCATTTACCTTATCTCCTAGAGATGGATGAAGAAGACTAGGTACCTGAACCAATGTATTTTACTAGAACAGGGCAAAACTCAATGGTGTGGATTGCCACAACCTATCTGAGGTGATGTGTGTGAGTGACAGTACTATCCCCCCAAAGAGAAGACACATTACCTTTTAGACAACTGCTGCTTTTATACCTCAGCCTATAATGTAAGTAAAGTCTTTCAGGAGCACCAAACACTTAGCATATTAGAATATACTAATCACATCTCAGAGAAAGTAATGGTAATTGAAAGTGACAAGTATAATCTTCATCATCCTTTATAAGAAACTTGGGATGTATCAGGGACTTCAGAGTGGGCTGCTTCCATGACAGGCCTAGCAGAGATGAGGGTATACTAAAGAGACACTTGTGTCTCTCCATCTATCAGACTACTGAAACAATAGATTTTAAAGTAATGTGAATTTCTATAGTTGTCTCATGCTTGATGAATGAAAGATCTCTAGCCAGAAGGAGAACTTATCTCCTTAAAGCAATTTCATACAATTCTAACTACCAAATCAACTTGCCAGATAAGACTAAAGATCAGACAGTGATGGTTGGGTTGATGGTGGGTGGAAGCCACATCTTGACCACAACTGCTTAGATATGAACATGCCTGGCCCTCTAGTTAAACTTTAATCTCACTTCAAAACCTCAGATGTACATCAGATATTTCAAAGGGTCTCTGGATCTCCTTATCCCTCTTTCCAAATTGCCCACATTGAATAAGTCTCTCTCTCTCTCTCTCTCTCTCTCTCTCTCTCTCTCTCTCTCTCTCTCTCTCTCTCT